ATATGTATGCTATATTAAATATTGAATTATTATTATTTTTTTAGATTTTACAGTGTATCCACCAAACGTTATCAACGATCTTACCAACACACCTTTATTACAGAGAATTTTAAAATTATTATTCTGGCCTCGTACGTACGCACTTACAGAAGACTCGCATTGTAGCCCATTTCTTCGTGTAATCTGTCGTGATAACAGCGCAGCACTGTTTAATAATCCAGCAATTGCAGCGGTAATCGACTATAAGTGGGCATCTGCACGTGATTATTGCTTACGTCAATTGGCTCACTTCCTTATTTTTGCGCTATTATTTTCAATTATTACTGGGTTAATGGAAGAAGAAATGTATTTAAAACCCAATATGAACTCTGTTTTATATGTGATCTTTCAATTAGTATTTTTTTATCTGGGCTTTTACTTGCTTTTTACCGAAATTATACAACTTAGACATGAAGGGATTGTAAAATATTTTACTTTGTACAATTTTTTTGATCTTATATCTTGTGCTGCGCCAATTTGCTTGATGATTACGTCGGATATACTAGTTCTTACGAATACTGGTAATAATTCAACTTCCAATGAAGTGTATAGTATTTCATTGGCATTTATCACTCTCATAATGTGGGGAGAATTCGTATGTATGCCATTTATTATATATATTTTTTTAATCACTCTACTGAATATTATTAATTATAACTTTTTAGTTTTTGATGTTCCGATTCTTTAAAAGTATTCTATTTATATTTTATTATTTATATATATATTTTTTTATCTATGTATAACATTTTATAACATTTTATATAGCGATAGCATTATTCTAAATAGGATATTATAATTTTATCATATTGCTTATCTAGGACCCGCGAGTTTTATTTATATTATTTTGAACATTTTGAACACAATTTGGCCATTCTTGGCATTTATGCTAATAGTCGTTTTTGGTATTGGTCACGCGATGTACGTTCAATCCTATTATTCCTATTACTTATACTATGTCACTCATTATTTGCATTTTCACTAATTTATATAGGTATATTTTACTACGAGATCCAGAATAATTAATAGCCACTTGTAAATCACTTTCTTTTTGTTCCAGAGGCCATGCGTAAAGTCTAGGGAAATGTAAATGTTTTGACAATCTTGATTTTATTCCACGTGGACTTTTATCATCCTTTTCAAATAAAATGGTTCTGATTAAAGAAACGCATTGTCCACGAATCAATGCTTGCATGATTTCATATCTAGCGTCCATCATCCTCCAAACATCTGGGCATGCCTTTATAATTCTTTTTAATATATTTTTTGTTTGACGAACCAAATCACGATATATTAATTTTTTCTTGGGTGTTATTGGTTCGTCTCGTTGAGCATTAAGATACTCAAGTGCGTCACACACGTCCCTCAACGTAGAACATTTATGTGGCCAATGAATTTCAATTTTTTGTTTAGCTTCAGGAAGTAACAACTCAACAAAAAAT